CAGAAGTGCTATTGGGATAACAATAATTCACCCTGTATTACTGTTAGTTGCAAGCATGGAGTGCAACAGTCACACTTCATAGAAATTGATCCAATGCTAGACAAGGCAGATACATACATAGATGAAGGATTTGTTAGAAGTGATCAAAATTTTCTGGTGACAGATGACCTCCATGTAACTCCAATTTCCCTTCCCTATTTCATCCAGATTTTAAAAAGACAGGGGTTACATGCTGATCAACTTGAGTATGGGGAAATCGTTATAGAAAGGCCTCATGTGAGAATTCTCCATGGTTATGCTAAATTCTACGATGCTCGTATTATTATTTCTTTAGTTTGATTTTCTTTTGTTTGGTTGCCTTAATTATGTTGCAGGTTTATAATCTACTTAAAACCATGTTGACCTCAGAAACAACACTCAGTGATGCACTTTCTTTTCGCCAAGTGGAATAGCGGAACTGTGTGACAATGATGACCAGCTTTTACTTTTGTTTTTTCATGTAAATGTGGATATAAAAAAAGACTTTGGTCTATATTGCTCTTCCTGATTAGTAATTGCTTCATATGATTGCTGAATGTTGTTAAATGCCTCTTGTTAGGTAGGATAAGATTTCATTTGGGATAAATTTTTTTATCGCTTTCTAAAGCAAATTTTTAATAGAAAATTTATTTGTTCAAAAAATTTTTGTACTAAAAACCAACTTTACAAAGTAGTAAGAAAGCTACGTCAAACAAAACGCGAGTTTAATCATAATAATTTAAAATATATATTCAGGCTTTAAAGTTTTTAAATTTGTCTTGAGAGGAATGTGATTTGAATTATTTATGTATTGTACTCATCTCAGAATAGGTTTAATGATTTTAAAATCATGTAGCTCATCTTGATCTGTTGATTGGAAGCTTTAGTTATCAAACAAGAGGTCTTGGGCTCGGTACTTGTGTATGTGATGTGTGTGTGAATTTACTTTTAATTTGCTCAAGTCACAAAAAAATTTGGTCAATTACTTTGTAGTATTCAGTTGAAAATAGTCAATTCATCGCACTCATATTCTAATAATACATATGAAAAAAATCATATAAGAATGTCTTGATGGGATTTGTATTAGAATAAATTTCAAAGTCTTTGAATTCACATCAAAATTAATATTAGGTAAGATATCTTAAAATTATGCTAATTTGAGAGCAAATTCAAAAGCATTGAAGTAAAATCAAATGTAAAATACACTAAACTATTCTTGGGTTTTTTTTTTGGCATTGATGAGTACTTGATAGTGATATTCAATTGTGGAGTTCTCAAAAATTCTTGGC